CCCCCCCTTTTTTCTTTTTTTTTTTTTTTTTTTTTTTTTTTTTTTTTTTTTTTATCAATTACTTTGGTTTGTATGCTTTATCATTTATGCTGGCTGCTCGTTTGCATCCCTTTTTAGTTTTTTCTCCTTAAACTTGTTAATACACTGTTGATTTTCTTTCTTTCTTTTTTTTTTTTTTTGCCGCCTGCTTTTTTGTTTTATGCTCATCCATCCCCACTGTATTTTTTTTTTTTTTTCATACGACATTTCCTTCACGCATCTGAAGAGGTAAAGAGGGAGAGTGAAGTGCAATGAGTACATTTTGATCACCCTTGAGGGGAAGAAGAAAAAGGGGTTCGGACTTTTTTGTTTACTTCTCCTCATATGAAGAGTTATTGTGATTACTGTGGGGGACAACTCCTGAGTGAATGTTTTTCTACCAGTCCAACTCTGCTGTGGATGTCCAGTGAAGACACCCCCCCTCCCCCTCCTTTTGGGTTTCCCCATTTTTGCATTACATCCCACTGTAGTTGCGTAGCTACCCGGGTAGAATAATTAACATAAAAATAAACGCAACTGCTGGGTGAGGAGACAGAACAAGGGGCACATATTATATATGTAAAAAAAAAAAAAAAAAAAAAAATGTCTATTGCGAAAAAGAGGTTAGCACAGGAACGGGCTGAATGGAGGAAGGATCACCCTGCAGGATTTTCGGCCAAGTATAGCCCCATGAGTGATGGGAAAGGCCTCGACATTATGAAATGGATTTGCAAAATACCAGGAAAGAAAGTAAGTTGTGTTTTTATGTAGCGTTTTCCTGCGTGATGGTAGACTTCCTCATGGTTGTGCATGAGAGTAGACCTTTGCCCCGTTGAGACACCTCTCACTAGCAAGAAACAATTGAACATTTGTTGGCTCACCAACTGCTGTTTTTCAGGGAGGTCTATGGGAAGGAGGCGAATATCCGCTGACTATGGAGTTCACGGAGGATTACCCTAGCAAGCCCCCCAAGTGTAAATTCACCACCGTATTATTCCACCCAAATATCTACCCATCAGGTAGGGATGCGCAAAAAAAAAAAAAAAGGGACGGCAAATAGAGCGTCGCTCCCATATTTGACAACCCTGCACCTATACTCCCTCTGCTTGAGTCATCTTCACAACGTGTATCTCTCCACCCCCAACACAGGAACCGTGTGCTTGTCCATTCTAAATGAGGATGAGGATTGGAAACCCTCCATAACAATAAAGCAAATTTTGTTAGGAATCCAGGTAATCGATTCACACCCGCCAAAGCACATCACACATGTGGCTCTACAGTTCCTCAATACAAAAAGGGAACGCATTTGTATGTGCGGCCGTCCCCCTTATTAGTAATTCACAAGGATGTATCATCTCCCCATCCCCCCTCCTCACCTCTTTTGTGTAGGATCTGCTGGATAACCCTAACCCCAATTCTCCTGCACAAGCGGAGCCATTTCTCCTCTACCAGCAGGACAGAGACTCGTACGAAAAGAAGGTCAAAAAACAGGCCATGGAGTTTAGGCCCAAGGACTGAAGGGGCACTCCACCACTACAACGGAACGAAGTACAGACGACCCCCACACACATAACTGTTACCTGTTACCTGTTAATCGTTAATGTGAACTATGAAGAGATAATCGTTAGCTTCTAACCCTGGGCGACGTGTAAAACATGTGTGTTTATGCAAAAGGGAATAACCCTCAGCGGAAGCACCATCAATAAGGGGAATGTTATTTTTTTTTTTTAAAAAAAAAAAAGTGCCAAAAAAAAAAAAAAAAAAAAAAAAAGAGGAACGCGTGTTGCGGAGCCCGTAGGCCTAATGGAAAGAACAGACAGATATAACCTACATACGTCCATGGGACGGCGGGGTACCATAACAATTTTTTATTTGTGTTTGTAAATTAGCATACCTTCGAATAGTGCATGTCCGTGTGCGGCATTAATATATGCACACTTTTTTTTTTTTTAACGTGCCAAATAACTCTACTATATATATAAAACAAAATTGACCAAAGGCGCACCCTTCCGCCGTAAGTATATCGTTGGCTGTTTTTTTATTTGATGATGGGCTTCGGCGTCTTGGCTTCATTTATAGCTGGTGCCCCATCCAGGTTACTTTCGTATGCCTAAACAGAGTTTTGCCTAGTTGGGTTAATTACTTTTCCCCCTCATCGGTGTGGCACATTTTGAGGATAAGGAATGGGTGTGCGCACGTACCTCACATTCCCCCCTGTGCTGTTAGGAGTAGCGATTGGGAGGTAGATGCACATGTTTCTTGCTCACCCACATGATATTACACATGTGCATAGAGGGGGGAAATGCTTTACGAAAAGTGAGTTGGAGTGTTTCACTGCTCAATGTGGTGGAAAGGTGTCATATCATCATACGTACAGGAGTGAAAAAAAAAAAAAAAAAAAAAAAATGGCAACGGGGGAATGCAAATTTTTTGGGGGACGCTTTCTATTAGTCACAATTGTTTACACGACTGCTTAACGAGAGATGTACCGTTGTGTACACGATCGTTATATGTATGCTTTTATTTTATATACACTCCACACATGTGTTCTTTTCTTTTGTTTTTTTTGTCTTTGCCAGGAGGGTTATATGACATGATGGGAGTAAGCAATGTGCACCTGTGTAGTTGCGTTGCACCGCCGGCTACTCCTTTTTTACCTGGTCTGCCAAGGGCAAAAAAAAAAAAAAAAAAAAAAAAAATCACGCACAAGAATACCATAATTTTGTACGCAAAATGATGTATGAATGAACTGAAATGCACATGTTCTTATGCAGCAACGAACAGCATTTTATTTAACCCTTTGGATGTTTCTTTTTTCACAGAGGCAGTGTGGGAAAAAAAAAAAAAAAACAGTTTGAACATAATTTTACATCTTCTCATCGTGCACACGGAAAATGTAACACCCTACATCTGCCTAATCCATTGGGGTACATTTCCGCATTGTTTTAAAAACAAAAACAGCTAACGCTGGGATTTGTGTTGCTTTCGTTTTGTTTTTTTTGGCCAGGCTTGGTGATTACATTTTTCTAATTAGGGAAGGGGAGAGTCAAAATGGGCAGCTGCTCACACACGCGGCTGTAAGCTATTTTACACCGCACATAGGGCAATATGTGCGATCACTGGAGGAAGAATGTAACGGTACATAAGCTACACGAGTACCAACCCGGATTTCTCCCCCACCTGTGAGCGTAATGAGAAGGGACGGCCAATTTTTGACCCCACTATGTAGCTTTTTTGCCAAGGGTTAGGAGAACCCCCCCCTTTTTTCTTCTCCTTTTTTTTTTTTTCTTTTTCTTGTTCTTTTTTTTAAATCCCTTGAAAGAACTTTAAATCCGCACTCGGCTCACTTCTCCGCAGTTTAAGTCAAGCCTACGTGTGTGTGCATGCGTACATACAGGTGTACGTTTATGTTTTTCATCCTGTATGTTCGCTTCGCCACACACCATGCCCCTACTTACAAGCCGAAATGAAGATGTGTGTAATTGCGTAAAGGTAGGAAAAGGATACGTGTAACGCTTCCACCGAAGATTTGCGCATTTTGTTTTTGTGTGTGTGTGTGTCCCTTTTTGATGCTGTATGCGTCCTCCTAGCGGTGTTGTCGCACTGTGGTGAAGTGCAGCTGGGGTCGCCTCGAACAGAAGCAAGACTGGGATCTCTCCTCCTGCTTCCCCCCCACACACACACGCCGTGTGCAACTAACTCCCCATAAGAAAGGGTAAAGAAAAAAGAACAGAAAAGTACACACCTCCCCCCCAACAACTATGTCGATGAAGATCCGGCGGAATGGCGTACATAGCGTGTTGAAAAATGTCAAGTGCATATACGAGAATAAGCGAGAAATTAGCACGAGCAGGATTTACAGAGACAGAAAAGAAAAGATAGTGATCCTAGGCTCAGGGTGGGGAGGTATTAACTTTTTTATAAACATTGATTTTAAAAAATACGATGTGACGTTAATCTCCCCGAGGAGTTACTTTACCTTCACCCCTTTACTGCCCTGTATGTGTAGTGGAACCCTCAGTGCCAAAGTGTGCACAGAAAATGTGTCCACGTTTTTAAGAAAAAAGGGATCCTCAGGTAAATACCTGCAGCTAGAATGCACCGACATAGTCCCAGAAGAAAAGCAAGTGATCTGTAAAGACAATAAAAACAATCAAGTAAAAATTTCATACGACTACCTAGTCATATCGGTAGGAGCTAAGACGAACTCTTTTAATATTAAAGGGGTTGACAAGCATGCCTTTTTTGTGAAGGATGTTGAAGGGGTAATAAATATTCGTAGGAAGTTCTTAGACGTACTACACATATGCTCCACGGAGAGAATCTCGGATGAAGAAAAAAAAAAATTGTTACACGTTGTAGTGGTTGGAGGTGGACCCACAGGGGTAGAAGTCGCAGGAGAATTTGCTGACTTCATTAATAAAGATGTCAAAAGGAAATATAAAAATATTTTCCCATTCATATCTGTTAGCATTATCGAAGGAGGGAAAAATTTACTGCCCACATTTACACAAAACATTTCGGACTTCACCAAAAAAACATTCCACTCTTCAAATATAAATGTACTCACAAATTATTATGTGAAAGAAGTGGACGAACATAATATTTGTATACAGTCAAGTCTAGATCAGAATGAAAAAAGGAAACAAATTCCATATGGTATTCTTATTTGGGCCAGTGGTTTAGCACAAACTCCTCTCATTACTAATTTTTTGAAAAAAATACCTGAACAAGTTAATAATAATATTTTAAATGTAAATGGACATCTCGCCGTTATTGGAATTAGGGATCAAAACATTTATGCTATTGGAGATTGTAAAAAGATACAACCTCTTCAATTACATGAACATTTGAATGAGGTGCTGCATCATTTTTCTTCCTCCTCCTCCACGACCTTCTCCTCCGATTTGCTTAAATCCAAGGCAAATGAATTGTGCAGGAAGTTTCCACAAGTTAGCCAATCCAAGTGGGATTACCAAAAAAATAAAAGAGCACAAATGGACAAGCAACAGTTTTGTGAGTACCTAAAAGAGATAGACCAAAATTATAAGTCACCTACTCCTACTGCTCAAAATGCTAAGCAGGAGGCCTATTTTTTGTCTAACCTTTTTAACACTCTGATGGAGAACAAGACGCAAGGGAATAATCATTTCCCTTCTTTTGTGGAGAAGTGGAAGGGGTCCATCGCCTACATAGGCAACCACCAGGTGGTGGCTCATCTCCCTTTTCTAGAAATTACCGGAGGTCTTTTTTCCTTCACATTTTGGAAAATGGTCTACATACAATTGCTCCTCACGTGGAGATCTAGGTTTGCTTTTATTTTGGACTTTTTGCGCACCAAGTTTTTTGGCAGGCCCTTTTCCAAATGAAGCTTCGGGTGCAAGCCGAACACCACCTCAGGAAAGAAGCGGCCCCGCACCATTAATGTTTTACCGTCACACCATACTGCTATGCGGTTGTGTGAGTAGAGCTATCCGTGTCACCACGCAAGAAGCCATGATATAAGCATATGAAATGTGAACACCTTTTGGATGCTCCACGTTTGAGCCTCTTTTTTTTTTTTGGTCCATTTTTTTGGAGCATCACGCACAACTTGGTAATCCGCACACTTCCCCCCTTCTGGGTAACTGTCACACCCTACACAAATTAACATACACACAAAAACACGTCCTCCTCCCATCGGACCATTTGTCACTCCACACACCATTTGCAAGTACGTGTCGTTATTTTAAAAAGTGAAGGAACCAAACAATGGGGAGTTTATAACACATGTACAAATTTTACGTACCACAGATGCATCTGCTTCTAACCTACCTGCCATGTTAGCGACTTGGCGATGGCACAGTTACACGCATCTTAACATGCGGTGCACACATTTGTGAGCAAGTGGTGGTGGGGCGGGAAGGTACATGGTGATGGTAGCGCTGTGGATTGCCTAAGGAGGTGGTAACATGCGACCCTGCATATTCTCCCCAGCGGTGTTGCATAAAAAAAAAAAATCACCAAACAAAAGTTGTTTTTAAAACGATGCGCATTTCGCTGCACATTGGCCGCACATTTGAGAAGATTTGCCCAAATAAAGAAAAACTTCCGCCCCAGCGCTACGCATTCAGGAGGTCCTGTTCAAACTGTTCCAACTCTTCTGCGTTGAACTTATTTGAATCGATGTCAAATTCAAGTACATCCGAGAAATTCAACTCATCAAGGTACAAATCGCATTCTTTTTGTGACTTTTTCGTGTCTCCCTTTTCACTCCTGGGTGATTCACCTTCTGGTTTTACCCCAACGGTGACGTCGTTTTGCTCCTCAACTGGGTCATAATTTTTTGTAACATTTATCATGGGGTCTACATTTTCATTCCTTTTCCTTCTCTCTTCATTCAACGTGTTGGACTGATTCAGATCGACAAACATGGAATGATCATGTTTGAAGTTATCATGTAGGGATGCTTCGTCTCCCCCTTCGTTGCTACACAATAGTTTACTCCCGTTTGATTCACCCTCATGATGGGTACGAGGTAGATCCTGCGCGACATTTGGGTCATCGTCCAGTTCTTCCTTCGTTTCAGCTTCATTCAGGTTGTCATGGATGGAAGCTTTTTGCATTTCCCCTGCTTCCTCCTGTTCGTGGTACCCCTCTACATGCTCATTATCTTCCTCTTCCTCCTTACCCAACTGTTCACTAGGCACAGCGGTATCGCCTGGGCCATTCCATGTATCACCCTCTCCTTCGCCCTCCTCAACTGTCACACGCTCCACCTTATCGCGAGACGTGTAAAAAGCTTCCCCATCGTGTTGCTTCCCCAAACTATAAGCCTTGTCATTTTGCTCTTCAATAAGGTCCAAAAATTTTATATTGCACTTTGAAATGGTTAAAGGGTCTAGCTGATCATTAATCGATTGGTGCGTTTGAAGAGGACTGTCCTCCTCTGCGTGACTATCCACTTGAATAGTGTCCCCCCTTCTCCTATTCATGGCAACACTACCTTCCACTGTTACATCATCCTTTTCATTAGACGTTCCCTCAAATGACGCCTCTAACGAGTGGTCAACCAAGTCTACATTGGAGTAACCTCCTGCACACTCCTCCTCCCTTTTAATTTTCTCCTTGTGTTTCTTCGTGTCCGCCAAGAGGGGGCCGAACGCTTCCGATTTGTCTCGAAGGTTTACGAAGATATCATTATCCATATAAATGTTGAGTCCATTAATTTGAGTTTTTGTCATTGAACAAGTGTCATCCTTCGGTGTGATCGAATCAATTTTGCTTCGCGGTTCGGATGCAGAGTTACAATCGGGTGTGTCCCCATCGGTAGCTGTTGCAAGGGCCACCCCTCTTTTCTCTGTTGACTCTTCTGAGGGAGTCAGCCAATCTGAGCGATTCAAACTTGGGAAACTCGCTAAATTGGAGGTGCCATGCATTTCCGCTGCGACTGTTTCTTCCTTATACTCTTTTGTTTGATATACCTGTTTGGAGTTCTCTTTGTGTTTCTCCCACTCCTTCGGTGTCTCCTCTTGGGCAGGCTGCTCCAACGGTGGGAAGTCCAACTTTTTCGTTAATTGCCCCCCTCCTGATGTTTCGTCCACCGTGGTTTCTTTCCCATTCGTGGGAGGAGGGGTCCCCTGGTTGGCTGCCTCAGGCGGTGTCACCGCATGGGACGTGGCCACATTTGACGTCGCCGCTGAAATGGGGGACTGCCCATGCTCCCCTCCGCCATCACATGGAAGGGGCACAAAGTGCAGTGGCCCATCAGAGTCAGGAAAATTCTTCCTACTCTCGTATATATCGTCGGCAATTTCGTTATATATAATATCAATGTTGAAAAAGTAGGACCTCCAGAAATCCAGCTCAGACATGTGAAAGGGCACGAGAAATCTTTTGGTCTGTTCCAAGTTTGGGTCCTCCATCATTATCTTTTCACTCTGTTCCTTTTTCTTGCTCCAATTGAAGTTATAATTTTGTAAAATATTTGTGTGTAAAATTTTATTTCGATCCACATTTAATTTTAAAATTTTTTTATATACATAGGAATTTAAATTTGGGTCAGGCAAATTGATTGGAAATCCTTCTTGATATTTTTTTCTGTAAATTTTGGAAATCATAATGTCCCCTTTTTTCCAGGGTACGATTTTGGACAGGTAGAACTTTTGCCCCTGCGAGTGGCCAACATCGCCATCACAGCGAAGGACGCCATCACTCCCACTGCTCAGCTTGTCCTTATAAATATCCCCCACAATCCTCTTAAAGCTGTTAAAGCCACTTAGAAGTTTTTCATTGTAATAGTGTAGCTCCGGGAAATCCTTCCCATTAATGTATTTATCATTTATGATGTGAAATTTTTCCTGTATGCAATTCTTTAGGCTCGTGTCTGGGGAAACCTGTGTGGTCCCTCCCTCCTGCCTTTTCCCGTTACCTTCATTGGAGGAACCCTCTAAAGGATGATTACCATTAGAGTTAAATTCTTGAAGGCTGTTATTTAAATCTTCCGCTTTTTTTTTTATCTGCTCGCTGACTTCCTTCCATAGGGAGTACATCTGATGGGTGGAGAACAGCAGCGGTGTCAAGGGGAGGGGGAAACGATGCACGCAGCGCGCTGTGGTCGTTTGTGAGGTGACGAGGAATTCTTCTAAGAGCTGTTTTCTCACACTTACCATGCGGAACGTGCTCGAGGGGGGAAAAAAGCAAAACGGTGGAAGAGACGTTATAACTGCACACCAAACATCCAACCCGTATTGAGGATATGGAGAAAACTGACCTAAAATTCGTATGGCCCCTTAAAAATTGGACGCCACAGGAGGAACAAAAAAAAAAAAAAAAATGTTCACCAGAAGTTGTAGTCCATACACAAAAATGGAAGTTGCAAAATTGCCTATATAAAATGTATGGCTTTTTTTTTTTTTTTTTGTTTCCCCAACTTGGGTGAAAATTTCTTCACATTTTGTGAAATTTTCAAGAAACAAAAATTGATGTAGATTTTTCTCTCTTACTATTTGTTTGTCCTCCAAGTGCACGTAAATTTTGTGAGTCCCCTGTTTTGTTGGCAAAGTGGGAAATGTACGGAAAAAAAACTTATACATGGGTGGAACACGTATGCGTTAACGCTCCTTTTAAGTGACGCATATTTTTTGTGAAAACGATTTGCCCCTTTTTTTTTTTTTTAATTAACATGTTGGACCGGCAAACACCTGTTTGTTTTTGTTTTTGTTTTTTTATTTGGAAAAATCCATCCCTTTGTGTGGGTTCACTTAGTTTTAAAAGGAAAAAAAAAAATGACCATACGGGGAAAAAAGGGTGCCACAAAATGCGACCAAGGGTATAAGTGTGGATGAAAAACAAAAAAAAAAAAAAAAAAGACAATTGTTCACGGCTGGCAATTGAATACTTCTTCTTTCTGTTGGGAACCCTGTGAAACCACGTGCTGGTGCGATTTTCCCTACAAGGAAGAGAAGGGTGCTCCCCAAAGGTTATGGATACCTTGGAAAGTGCGTAAATACATGTGTTAGCACATTTTAAGGCATGTTGACCTGTGTAAACATGTTAACCAATGTTAACCAATGTTAACACCTGTATAAACCAGTGTGTACTTAAGCGCGCGCGCGATGGTCAACCCTTTTGTTGAAGCACATTACGCTTGACAACCGGGGGGAGTGGGACGCTTGCGCTTTGAACGCGAATTTGCCCCAAGACCCATACGAATTATCAACAGGTGAAAACGAAGTCAGATGAATGCATGCGCCTCGGTGGTAATTGCCCGCTTGTGTTTTTCGTTTCGTTTTTTTTTTTTTTTTTGTTCTCATTTTTTTTTCTTTTTTCTTCGCTCCCCCACCCCCTGCGCCAATCTGATACGCTATCCGGTTCGGGAAAATGCACATGCCAAGGTAGCGCAGTGGCCCCACGTGAAATACGCCATCCAGTTTTTAAACGAATCGGAAATTTTACAATTCCCCCTCATGACTTGAAGGCCGTTGGAATATCCCCTGCGCACGCCCGTATGCACAGATTTACACATGTATGTACGCATGCATGTTATGTATGCACATTCGGGCGCTTTCCCTTTAAGCGGATAAGTACGCATACACAAACGCAAACAAGCGTACAAACGCGTACATCCTGGTGCTTATGCCTTTATTCCCCGTGTGCAACAAATTACATTCCCACCAGAGCGGATGATCCACACGTGTTTAATACGCGGAGAGATTAACATAAAACGGGGGGTGCCTCGTTGTGTGTCAAAACTGACCCATGTAAAAAAGGGTTAGCGGTCAGCAAGCAGCGGTACTTTTTCCCCCCGCTCTGCCTCTTCTCACGCAGCTCACAAATGCAACGTTGGCAGATCGTCCCATAACTATGTCATAATGGCATAGCTGGATTAAGTACGTACTCATGCGCACATCCACACGCACAAATGTATGCATGAGTGTATGCATGATTGTATGCGTGATTGTATGCGTGAATGTATGCGTGATTGTATGCGTGAATGTACGCATGAATGTACACATAACCCCGCTGATGGCAACCACTTACATGCACCCTCACAATCGTGTAAGGACAGCGAATTCTTCGCTACGCGAACATTCGCTAAAAATGTATGTAAATGCTGGGCGCGCGAGGTAGACCTAGGGGCATATGCATTCTTCCCTGTATAACATATAGGCTTGCGTCTTGTGTGACTCTTCCTCTGTGACTGTGAGAAGCTGGTTGCGCATCCCTCCCCCTTCAGCAGGTCTTGACTGCCATGAAATGGTGACGTCCGAACAGGTAGAGGCACACAACCAGGCAAGCGTTACTGTGTGAAGAAGTTGATACTATAATCGAAGGGGGCGAAAAAGTAGCGTACGTGCCGACCAGCAAACTCACCGATGTGCAAAGGAAGAGTCTATTTGTCCCACACAAATTAGCATAATAGAAAAAAAAAAAAACGTCCGCAACGTTGTACACCCTCGCACCATGATTTCAAAAGAACAGAAATGTTATGTGTCCCATCGAATGAGAGGCGCCGCACGCGAATGTACCAGCCCGTTTGATAGTTCCCTTGAACCGCAATCTGAATATGCACTCTCTGCCCCCCCCCCTGTCGCACGAACCACGGAAACTCCCCTCTTCCCCCCATGCATGTGCTCTCACTAGACACATTCCATAAAAATGAATGAAGAAATCGAAAAAAATATAAAATTAAATAGCAATTTAATAGAGTTTGAGGAAATAATAAAAGACATCAACACCCCCTTCAGTTTTATCGACTTGGTTGAAATTCCTTGTGTGCCTTTGGTTGATATATACGGACTGTCCCTGCTCAGCAATGAAGCATATTTGGAATATAAAAATGGGTTAAGGGAAGACAAGTTAAATACAGAAGATGAAATTCGATTGACTCTCTTTTTTGCGGTAAAATTATACAAAAAGAATGTGTTAAAGATAAAATTTCCTTCCTACTATGACATCGTCGAAACACTGAAGTTTGACCCTGTGTCTGTTACCATAGGGCTCTTCAACCAGTTTTATTTCGAAACCGCATACGAGTTGTGTAATTTATTACCAGTCAATGAATGGCCGTCCACCAATTTTTATGACATTTTGAGAAAGGCAGAAAAAACGAGGATACATTTTTTAATAAACAACAAAACCAAATTAAATTCGTACTTCCTGGAAGGACTCACAAACAAGGAAAAAAAAATTTACAAATACTTTCTTGAGGGGACTTCCAAGGAAAGGGAGTCCATGAATAAGGAAACAACGTTGTTTTATTTTTACGAAAAGGACAAATGATGCAAGTAGGGGAGACAAGGGGGATAGGATGAGGCGATTGTAGGAAGTACGAAAATGAGAGCATAAACCATTTTTTCTTCCCATGCACGTGGACAGCAGTTAGAGTGAAAACGTTTGGGGCGGTCTTAAAGGACACTATCGAACAGTTGTGCGTCGCACCGGAGCGCTTTATTAGGACGGGGGAAGAAATCGATTGGCGGCAGGGGGTTGCCTGTTGCAACTGTGGACACCTTATTTTCCCTTTGTAATTTTGATCGCGAGGACGAATTCATCTTGATCTTGTAAACGTTGTGCGCTTTCCCGCGTGCGAGTTAGCGACACTTTTTTTTGATATATATATATATATGGGAGATGCCTCCAAACACATTTACCTTTGCCTCTCGCATTTTATATGTTAAATGTTAACGTCGGTTGGCTAGCTAGCTAGCTAGCTGATTTTTTTTTTTTTTTTTAAATTCTATTTTGATGATTTGTTAATGCAAAACGGAATAGCTACTTTATTTGGTAATAATTGTTTTTTTCGTTATGTTTTAAAAAAAACTCGGAAAAAAGCCAACAAAAAAAAACAAAAAATTAAAAGATTTAAAATGTTAATTATGTATGTGCGTAGTTAACTTTGTGCAGTGGTGGTCGTACGGGCAGTACAGTCTGGCATGACTCCACTAGACTCCTTTTTTGTTGCAATTTCCTCATTTGCACACAACATATTCGGGGGAAGAAACATAGGCACAAATAATTATGAACAAATTATTTCACACACACATTTATGGCCTGCAGGGGGAAGATGAAAAACGGGGTTGTGTTTTCTGGCCCTGTTGCACAAAAGTAGACAGGGAATAACATACCCTTCGGACATGCGTCATTACAGCATGGGAGATAATACCCCTCTTTGGGTGAGACCATTCAATGAATGGAAGACAAGCATTCGCAGGAGAATGAAAATAAATACTATTATATGTCGCGTGGATAAAGGACAAATTAGTTTCCTAGCAGGTTATTTTCCCCATGCAACAAAAATGAAAAAAGGGAAAAAACACAAAAAACAGTTGTTCGACATTAAATAGCTTAACTTGAAAGGGTGCATATTTTGCACATAATGAAAAGTAAAAGTGGGGGAACAAAATGGTGTCTTGTCATTAAAAATTACTCTGCGTCATCTGCAAATTGTCGCAATGTCGCTTGAAGGAAAAAGACTGACTTGGCATAAATCGCCATCAAGTGCGACATACGGCGAACACCGTGATTCATAAGATTCGACAACAACTGCTAAATCTACACCCGCATGGGAAAACATTCATGCGCGAAAAATGCAAATGATAAAAGTGAAAGTGAGAAAGGGGTTGGACACAAAAGCCTAACTTAGGGTTAATAGGATACAAACCATTGTCACTGTAAAAAATAACTCAAGTTGAATGAGATCTGCACACACGTACAGACGTATGTTTTCTGTGTATTTAAAAAAAAAAACAAAAATGCATTCGCGCATTAAAAGGATGTGCAGTTATAGCGCACATAAAAGGGCGGCAGGAATTGACAATAGTAGGGGTAATTAAAAAATGTGGCAACTAATCAGTGGGGTGAAATGTCGCACATTGGCGCATACATATGTTTACACCCCACGCAAGTATATAGACAGCTAGCTTTTTTGTTTTAAAAAAAAAAAAAAAAAAAAAAAAAAAAAAAAAAAAAAGGCGGCAATGTCAGTCGGGCATACTAACAAGTGTGTAAACGAGTACGGAGATATATGTTACTTATACAATTGGTGCGCGCAAAAAAAAAAAAAGAAAATGGGGTTAACTCTTTTCCATGTGGCAAATCTTAACCATGTGTTCCTGTTGTTCTTCTCTTTCTTCTTCTGCTTGCTTTTCCCCCCTGTCCCCGCTTTAATAGGCAAAGGCCTTCACTTTTTCTTCTCCTTGATTTTTAAATACAAGCAACACAGCAGTGTGACAACTCCGAGGACGTTCAGACCATAAGTCACTGGGAAATGCTTCTTCTCACCCAGGTACATATAAACAACATCGGTCAAGTAGGTGAGGTAAAAATTTATAATGAGGCAAAGTGCACTAACTGCAAACATAATTCCGCACAACTTTCCGAAATGCTCCTTCGAGTATTTCTCATCCACATAGCAATAGAAACAGGAGAAAACGAAAGATATGTAAAAGAAAAACAAAATGATGGCCATCAATCTGAAAATGTATCCATCAAATAGGATCAAAATATAAGTAAGAAATACAAACACGTTATTTGTTAATATGCTGTATATGGAACCAAACTTTCCAGCCAGGTAGCCAAATAATGGGGTTGGGAGGAAGGACATAATAGTGGAGAGAGAAAATATGGTCGTCAGGTCATAATCTTTCCATATTAAAATGGATCTATTGGTTTTTATAAAATAATCAAATCTAATCATACTTGAACTGCATATAAATAAAGTGATTAAATATTCCCATTTTTGAGGATGATTCCATAACGTTTTTATTTTATCTGAAAATTTACAACATGGTTCATTATCGTATAATTTTTTATCTGCACTTTCCATTCTGTCCATTTCGTTCATAACACTTATGTTTCTTTTCTTCTCTGGGTTTGATGATCCTGTGGCTAATTCACTGTTCAGTTCTGAATGCTCTGTGTTCTTACCCGGTACGATAAAAATTCCCACAAGGAATGAATACAAGCTACATACGCAGAGGTAGACTATACACAAAATGTAGAACTCGTTTTCCTTAAAATTGTACGCGTAGAAAAAGGCATATTTTAAAAGCAACGCAATGGCAAACCCTGTAGATCTGGCTGCACCAAGGATTCCAAATATTAGGGACTCCTTTCCAGGGAAGTACTTGGAGATCTTTAACAATGGAATGAAACACAAATCGGCTGAAACACCCAACATTAAAAAGAACAAATACCATACGTAGGAAAACTTCAACACTGCTAGGGATAGAAATGCTCCTGCTAGGATGATTTGGCCACTTACAAAACAGACCTTTTCTCCAAAGGTATCCAACACGAACCCACTCACGGAGGACGATAGGAAGAAATGAACAAAGAAGGACAAGGTAAATAAATTGTTCACAGCTACGTCTCGGTTCCCACATGTCATATAAGATATATTTGCATCCACCTTGAATTCTCGCATCTCATCCGTTGGTGAACATAATTCACTAAAGGCACCTGACTTGTATATAATTGGCTGCCAGCTACTGAATCCTGCGTGTACGAAGGTTGCCAATGCCGACACTACGGAGTACAGCACGAGGGCTGTCCACTTGCTCACCTTCAGGTCATTCGGCACACTCTGGCCGTACTTGAGCTTCGCTATGTCTTCCTTCATCTTCTTGTGCGGTATGTAAAATTAATTGTTGTGTTTTAAAATGGAGCAAACTGTTTCAGCTACTTCTCCTTTAGCTGTTCATCCACCGCACGTGCGCGGGGTCCCCCTTTTAATATCCACTGGCAGCTACCGAACCCCTGCAACGGGCTCCCTGTCAATCCTGGTTCGGTTCAAAGAGGTGTGCCACTTCGAACCGCTGTGCGCGCTGGCTCCCCCTGGCTGCTCTACTTTTGTGCGTTGTTTCTTCTTCGCGGCCCGTTTGGGGGGTATCCTTCCAACATATGCGATGGGAGGGAAAAGGAGCAACAGTCACAAAAACGGGTCACTTGAACCACTATTACAACAAAATGTTACGCTTTAATAACATTTACAAAGGTTCCACAAGCGATTGTATATAAAAAACAGAAAAACTGCTACATGAGGGGAAACACTGCGCGAAAATTTAACCAAAGCCTAAGCCAAACACAGTTGGGGAAAAAAGCGGATTGAAAATTAAAAAAAAAAAAAATAATAATAAAATAAATAAAACAAAACAAAACAAAGCGAAAAAATGGAAAAATGCGGAACAAAATAAATTAAAAAAAAAAAAAAAAAAAGAACAAACTGATGCCGTGTTTGAAGAAAATGTTGGGAAAGATTCATCTAAAATTGCAAAGAAGTCACGGGGAAATTCTTCTCATTTATAAAAACAAGTTGGCCACAGGATAAGGGAAATACCGTTGTGCGTACAGATTATCCTCCCCCACCATTTTATCTGACAACGTTGCCGCCACATACCTCTGTGCATGCTACATGTGCGTTACAGAAACGTCACATGCAACGAGGCACAATAATAATAATACCGCGTGTGCCATTTTTATATATGTATATACTTGCACGTCATAATATATATATATACCTTGCGTGCAATACATTTGGGTTAAATTCCTCCCACGGGGCCTCTCTCCATATCGGCACCCGAAACCGACCTCCATATTTTGTTAAAAATTTTGTACCCAATTCCCCTTTTGGACGGTTTTTAAAGTGGCTTTTTTTTGTTTTTTAATTTTTTTTTTTTTTTGCTTTTTTTTATTTTTTTCAAATTGACACCCCGCTTTTTTTGTGTCACCATTTGTGTGCCCCTTTGGGAAAACTTTAAAAAGTGCGTAACCTGGGCGACAAAAAAAATAATCGACCGAAGAAGAGCCCTTCGAAGTGTGCTTTTATAAAGTAAGTATATAAAACATGTGTTTTCGTCCATCTGCCACATGTATGCTGTGATTGTTCAGTTTGCGCCTTGGCCCCCAGTTTCGAAGAGCCCTTTTGCATTTGCATACAATTGGGGGCAGTTCACCAGTTTGGTGGCGCGCATCTTTTTCGCCCGTGTGCATCCCCCATTGTGCATTACTATGCGGTTTATTTTTATTTTCTTTTCCGTTCTCCTCCCCTTTTTGTCACTTGTTTATAACCCCAATATGCGTGGCGAACATGCAAGTTATATCACAAAATCTATGGGGTCAAAAATAAAAGTTGCTATGCAGGAAACAATACCGCCCGTGTTTGTTTGCATGACCTATGCGCGCGATAAAGAGTGATCACTTGTGTTGCAGTGCGCATTGGCAGCGTGAGTGAAGATAACACGAGATGATATCATTATGCGTGACACAAAATGGCTTATACACTTGCGCAAAAGCGCGCATACAAATTTACATTGGATCGACTTTCCTATGTGGGCACCACCCCGCGTCGAACCAATCAAGTTGTTCAGAAGCTGCGTCACTTCTTAAATAGAACTGGAAAAAAAAAAAAAAAAAAAATGAGCGAGAGAGTTGTGGAAAAACAAAACTTGCTCTCACAGCAACAAGCATCCAAATATGAACACACATGTACATGTGCATATGAACAGGAACACGCGCCGGCATATAAAATATACATAACGGAAAAAGGGGATAAGGTGACTTTCGTTCGTTGTGTACGGCAACTGCTCCACTGGTTTTCTCACACATGATTGCCGCGTCGCAAAGTACAAGAAAAAATGAAATGAATATAACGCGGGGCCAAAATGATGGTATTGTATCTGTTTCCTTTTTTGTCTCTCGTCCCCCCCCGACAACCTCTGTAAGATCACTTTGCAAATGCGGCAAACGGGGTTTCATAAAACGGGGTTAAAAATGTGAACGGGGTCAAATGGTATGTAGCACATGGATATTAAAATGTGCAAGGAGTTAATGCTTAACTTCTGTAACTACTTCGTTGCATATTAAATGCACACCATGATGGTTCACACATGTGTATGGGCAGTCGCAGTGCCAACATATACTTCTGGCACGCAACCAAAGTGCGGCTTGTCATTTCCCCATGTGTTGCGCTACAGAACAGATAAGAATTAATTTTACACAAGTTAAGCGGTTAAAAGTGTGGGTGATTTGGAAGGGAACTATATCCCCCACGGTCATCCTGCAGAAATGCGCTGGGTTGTACCCCCCCCCCCCCCCCCCCTGCTTCTCTACTCATCCATATTGTTAAGGGCCGCCAACTCATCATTAAAGAAAAGCTCATTACATCCTTTCTTGTTGGCATCTAAACATTTATCAACCCACTCGCTGTACACGTCAATGCATTCGTCTAGGTTGGTTATTTGGCTCGCGTACTTGACTCCGCATTTGAGGCAAGTCAGTTCTCCTATTCCTTTGGACCTGTGCCTGAGGGGGAAGCGCATCCATGGGGGGGGGAGAAGCCGTTAGACGGGCATGCAGTAACAACAGTGCAAACATAGCAGGATAAAACGTATCTCATCCCCTCATGGGAAACACATGAATAGAAGAGAGAGGGCTGCTCATTTTTTCCCTCCACTCGTCCTTACAGCTTAATGTCGACCGATTTCTTGTAGCTGCAAAAGGGGCAGTTAAATTGCTTATCCAATTTTAAAGGTTTCTTTGCTCTTGGTTTAACTTTTTTAACTTTACTTCTCGCCATGTTGCATTGGAAATAAAATGTTTTTTTTTTTTTTTTTTTTTTGCTTCCTTTTTCCTGTCTGCAGAGGTAACGTAACGCTTAACAAGCTGGCAGTAATAAAGGGCACAGGTTCAACAGAAGGAAATTTCTCAATTACTCGTTTATTGGTATGTTCACTTTACGTACAACTCTGTGGTTGTATGCGCTATGTCGATTTGTGATAGCTAGCTGAGCTCGTCCAACTTGCTGCGCTTCCCTAATTGAATGGATGAAACGGCAGGCTTGTCTCGTGGCTCAGACTTGCGCCCAACAGCTGCTTCCCTGCGACATGTGAGGGCGTGGGGTGGGCGTGATTTGACCGTTCCGCTTGAGCGCCTTAAAAGCGAATTCGTACATAGGACGAGGTATGCAATGACAAATGCGGAATTGGAGAAGGCATGTTACAAAGAAATTTAAAAAAAAAAAAAAATCATAAAATGTATAACGAATAAAATAATTTTAAAAGTGCGGAAAAAAATTGCGACCATTCGATTCACTCGAGCAGCAGCGGTTGCAGGAGTATAAAATCGCAGAACAGTTAAAGAAGTCGGGTAGGGAATCCTGTTGCTGCCATTTTTTTTAACACAGCTTTTACAATGCGTCAAATAGGCGCAACGAATGCAACGTGGCGATCGGCGGAGAAGGCAGGAAAAGAAAACTCTTTTTTTTTTTTTTTTTTTTTTTTTTGCATTTGCGCAGAACGAGCGTGTGGGGAGCGGCGCGAAAAAAAAAGGCAGCTGAAAAGTGGAAAATGAAGAAGTGAAAAAGCGAGGCGAAGCAAAACCGACGGCGTGGAGCTTTAGGCAGCGGACAATTTCGCGCAAGGAGAAAAAAGAAATCATCAAAAAAAAAGGACGCCAAAAAAAAAAAAAACACCGAAAATATTTGCCAATTTTTTTTGCCAAGAAATCCGCGGGAAAAGTCGACCAAAAAAGCACACCTGCGCATGCGTTAAGCACAACATGCACACTAAAATGTGTATTTTTTATTTTTTCCCCAAGTGTACACAAGGACGCGTGTTCAGTCAGGATGCATAATTTTTAATGGCACGATGGGAAGGGCCCCATTATGGGCACAAGTGACCAGCTGGCCCACGCAAAGATAAGATAGCACAAAAATATGCAAGCGCAAAAAAAAAAAAAAAAAAAAAAAAAAACCCAATTTGAAAAAAAAAAAAAAAAAGGGAACACTGAACGTACCTTCGCTACTCAATAAAAAAAATTCA